CATGTGTTGGTTTATATTCCACATATGAGTGAGATCATACAGTGTTTGTCTTTCTCTTTCTGGCTTATTTCACTTAACATAATACGCTCCAGGCCCATCCATGTTGTTGCAAATGGGACGATTTTGTCTTTTTTTATGGCTGAGTAGTATTCCATTGTATATATATACCACATTTTCTCTAAGGAACCTTTTTAAAAGCTCCAGAACTAGTAAACTAGTTTAGTAAGCTCTTAGGACGTAAGATCAAGAAGCAAAAATCAATTGATTTTTCTATATACTGGCAAAGAACAATCAGAAAATGAAATTAAATAATTCCATTCACATCAAAAAGAAAAATACTCAGGAATAAATTTGTTAAAAGAAGTACAAAACTTGTACATTAAAAATACAAGACACTGCTGAGAGCATTAAAGAAGATCTAAATAAATGGAGAGAAATAACATACTCATGGACTGGAAGACTCAATGTTATTGAAACGATAATTCTCCCAAAATTGATCTATAGATTCAAAGCAATGCCTACTAAATCCCAGTAGTCTACCTTTTAAAATTTTTTTCAGAAACAGACAAGCTGATCTTAAAATGTATATGGAAATGCAAAAGACTTAGAATAGCCAAAACAATTTTGAAAAAGAAGAATAAGGTTTGTGCACTTAAACTGTCTGATTTCAAAACTTACTATAAAGCTAGAGTGATCAAGCTAGGTAGTGGTGTAAAGATAGACACACAGATCAATGGAACAGAAATAGAACCCCATATATGGTCAAATGATTTTTGACAAAGGTGCCAAGGTAATTCAATGGGAATAGTCTTTTCCACAGATGGAGCTGAAACATTTGGATATTTATATGCAAAGAATTGAACTTCAACCCTTACCTCACACCATAGACACACTATTGAAATAAATCATGCACATAAATGTAAGAGCTAAAACAATAAAACTTCTAAGAAAACATAGGGGAAAATCTTTATGACTTTATGGTAGGAAAAGATTCTTAGATATGACTCCAAAAGCATGAACAATAAAAGAAAAAATTGATGAATTGAGCTTCGTCAAAATTTAAAACTTTTGCTTTTCAAAAAACACAATTAAGAAAATGAAAAGATGGGGCCAGCCAGTGGCGTAGCGGTTAAGTGCACGTGCTCCACTGAGGCGGCCCAGGGTTCGCAGGTTCGGATGCCAAGTGCACACCAAAGCACTGCTTGTCAAACCACGCTGTGGCAGCGTCCCATATAAAGTAGAGGAAGATGGGCACGGATGTTAGCTCAGGGCCAATCTTCCTCAGCAAAAAAGTGGAGGATTGGGGACGGATGTTAGCTCAGGGCTAATCTTCCTCACAAAAAAAAAAAGAAAGAAAGAAAATGAAAAGATAAGCCACAGACTATGAGAAAATATTTTCAAAAGATATATCTGATAAAGGACTCTCACAGGAAATATATAAAGAACTCTTACAATGCAATAATAAGACGACAAACCACCCAATAAAAAGAAGGGCAAAAGATTTAAATAGGTACTTCACCAAAGACGTTATATGAACGTCAGACAACCACAAGAAATGATGCCCTTGGGGCCAGCCTGGTGGCACACCGGTTAAGTTCACACTATGCCATTCTGCTCCAGCGGCCCCAGGTTTGCGGTTCGGATCCTGGGCGCGGACCTACTCACTGCTCATCAAGAAATAGCTGAGGTGGCATCCCATATAGAAGAGCTACAACTCTACAACTATGATACACAAGTATGTACTGGGGCTTTGGGGAGAAAAAAGAAAAAGAGGAAGATTGGCAACAGACGTTAGTGCAGGGCCAATCTTCCTCAAAAAGAAAGAAAGAAAGAAAGGAAGGGAGGGAGGGAGGGAGGGAGGGAGGGAAGGAGGGAAGGAAGGAAGGAAGGAAGGAAGGAAGGAAGGAAGGAAGGAAGGAAGGAAGGAAGAAAATGATGCCCATCATCATTAGTCATTAGGGATATACAACTTAAAGCCATAATGAGATACAGCAACACTTCTACTAGAATGGCTAGAATGGCAAAACAAAGCCAAAAACAAAGTGTGGGCAAAGATGTGGAGAAACTAGAAACATCTTCAGACATTGCTTGTGGGAGTGTAAAATGGTATTGGCTCTGGGAAAACAGCTTAGCAACGTCTTAAAAAGTTAAACATATACCTACTATACAACCCAGCATTTCCACACCTAGGCATCTACCCAGGAGAGATGAAAACATATGTCCACAAAAAGACTTGCATGCAAATGTTCATAGCAGCATCATTCATAATAGCTAAAACCCAGAAACTATAAACAAGATAAATGGATTTCAAAAACATACATTTTACATGATTCCATTTATATGAAATTTTAGAAAAGATAAAGCTATAGAGACAGAAAGCCGATCAATGATTGCCTGCGGCAACCAGCGGTAGAGAAGATTAACTGAAATGGGCATAAGGGCACTTTTGTGGGTGATGGAAGTATTCTAAAACTGGATTTTGGTGAAGGTTCTGCAACTGTAGAAATCTATTAAAATTGAATCAATTGTACACTTAACATGGATGAATTTAATGGTATGTAAATTACATCTCAATACAGCCAGTTCTTTTAAAGCCTATCTAGAAGGATTTGAAAATAAAATGTTCAAAACAGAAGGAACAGACAAGCTGACGGAGTACAAATACATACGGCAAACGAAGTAACGACAAATAAAGCAACATAGGCTTCTCATCAACAATAATACATGCCATGTGGCTACAGTGGACGATAGCGTATTACATAATTGAAATTTGCTAAGAAAGTAAAACTTCAGTGTTCTCACCAAAAAAAAAAGATAAAGATGTGAGTTGATGCATGTGTTAATTAACTTGATTGTGGGAATCCTTTCACAATGAATACATATATTAAATCATCACATTGTGCATTTTAAATATATTGTCATTTTATTTGTCAATTATACCTTAATAAAGCTGGGGAAAAATAAAACGTGCCAAAAAAATAATGGTCAATATTTTTCAATCTAATGTTTTTCAGATGCACAGGGTAAAATTTACTATTATCCTTTAATTCTGTAGCAAGCTTAATCATTAATTCAAGAGTAAGGGCAAAATTGAGCCTTTACAGAAATGAAAGTCTCAAGTTTACTACCCACAGATCCTCATTGAAAGAACTATTAAAGGATGAACTTCGACAAAAAAGAAAATGAACCCAAAAGTGAAGACTGGAATGCAAAGGCAATTTTCTAAGAAATTAGAAAAGATGTTAGTAAATCTAAGTAAGTGTTAAATTTAAAAAAAGAGTATGGGGAATTTAAGGACTTGGTAGAACTAAAATATTATAGAAATATTGGTAGAAATAAAATAATAATCACACAGAAAATGCAAAGGAAAGTTCAGAGCTAAGTTAAAGCATTCCAAGGTCCTTTTGTGATATTCAGGGGTGTGATATTCAGATAAAATGAATTTTAAACTTTAAAAAATATAAATTACAATATGTGGTTTTAAATGTTAGGGTAACCACTAAAAGAACAGAAATATATTTGATAGCTTTTAAGCCAATAGGAATAAAGGGAGAAGAGAGAACATTCAATTCAGTAGAAAGCAGAAAAAAAAAAATAAGCAAAGGCAACATATAGTAAATAGGAAATACAAAACACATTGGCAGAAGTTAAGCCCACATACATAAGAAACTATAAATGAGATTAAACATGCTACTGAAGTACAGAAACTCTAAGACTGGATTTCAATAAGTCCATCCATACCATGTTTATAAAAGCCATAACTAAAAAACGACATAAAATGGTTAAAAAGAGACTTCATTTTCTTATAACACAGCAGCAAAGATAATCTGAAAAACTTCCCAGTACCATTCTATAAATACTGGATACGTCACAAAGCTCCTTTTGAATGCACAGCTGAACTTAAAAGAAAGAAAGGAAATATTCAAGAGGGAAAAAAATGGAGTGGCAACGCAGAGCACTCAGCAAAAGCCTTGAGGCCATGGCTGCCCTTGTGGGGGCCAGACCTTGGACTTCCATGCCCATGTGGGTCCGGAGAGGATTCGGCAGGCCTGAGTGAAATGGGGAATTCAAACCGAGACCCCTCTACGAAGCTGAAACCCCAGATGGGCTCTATGCTCAACCAGAAAAGGAACAGAAATGACAAGCACAAGGAAGTGCATCAAGAAAGATCGTGTGTCCTGGCCAGGACACAGAGTAGAGAAAAAGTCGCTTCTAAGAAATTGTAACCAGAGGCCTACCAGGCCACGGTTTGGGGTGCTGATTTTACCTTTTGTGGGGTCTGGGAGTGCTTAATCCAAGAAAGTGATATAAGTGGGCCAAGCTGGGAATATTCTAGTGGCGCCTGGCAAAAGCAAACTCCAACCTACTGGAGGGGAGGCACACGCCCACAATCCAGCTGCACGGGACTCCCACAAAACCCCTGCCCTTTGTAAGCACATAGTACCCACTGTCCTCCCTTCAAGATGGCCATCCTGCCAGTCAAGTGCCACGTGGGCACAGTAAAATGTGGTTTCTGAGGGTGAGTCACTTACTGCAATGTGTCGTGAAACTCTGCTCACAAATGGCAGCGTGTGTGCCTTGAGAGGTACAATGAAACAAAGGGTACTGAGCAACCAGCATGGAGCTATGAGGGAACAAGCAAAGAGGATCCAGTGACTCGTGTCTGCCTTGCTCTCCACAAACGGATCTAAAACTCAGACCAGGCCAAGCCCAGGCCCAGCTCACACCCCGATCATTTCACCCCAGTTCCTTCCTTCTCTACACAAGGAGACCCACAATGCCAGAGAGTCACCACATCACCTGAGCAGAAGAGATGGGAAAAAACCTGCTCCATCCACCAGCCACCAAGGCTGCAACCAGGACTGGAAGCGGTTCTGCTCTTTCAGCCAACATCAAGTACTAACATGGGTACCTTTTCAGCTCACGATACTTAAAAGTGGGGCATGCTTAATAGGGTTCAGCTCACCCTTTCATTCTGTATTTATCCCCTGATCTCATTCCAACAAGGCTTTGAGGCATCCTTAGAGAGGCGCAGAAATCTTATACTTTAGATGAAAATTTCCCAGGGGCTCTAATGAGGGTAACACACACTAGTTAGCTTATAGAACTTACATAATGACGTTAACAAGAGTGCTTCTAAAGTTTTCTCGTTCTTTATGTGAAGATTTGCTCTTTGATTTGGAAGTAGATGGCCCAGCACAACTATCATCAACTTGGTCTAGTAATTTGCCCTTCTTTCCGAAGCGTTCCATGTATTCAGCTTGAATTTAAAAAAAGCATAAGTTAGTCCTCTAAAAAGTAAGATAAAGATTTAAGTGGTTAGAATAAAATGCTAAAGCAACTTTCAAGAAAAAGACTACATGCTTTAAGTTCACAAGTAACTCTAATTTATTTTCTTTAACTACCAGGAAGTTAAACTACTCTTGTTTTATGTCATCATAATAGAAAGCTCTGACTATTTTAAGAATATTCAATTAATTTATTTTGTATTTTCATTAATATGCTAACAAACAAATTTTCAATTATATTTGCATAGAACCTTCTTAAAATGAACAAGATTAAAATTATGATAAAAATAGAACACAAAACTATTTCAGGAAACAAAGAATCATGATGAAAAATGTTAATATTCAATGTAATCAATCTTATGAATCAAAATAATAAAAATTATTAAAATGATTTGGAAGTAATGTTTACAATTTATTAAAATCTCTTTTAGAAAAAAATTCTAAGTCTTTGCAGAGGCAAATTCTGACTACAATAAATCAAAGTTTTATTATAAACATCCCAATTCCTAATATATCAGCTTTTACAGCATTTACAACAGCCTGAAATAACTAAGACTGGAATCAATTATTTTCCAAGGGAAAACATTTGGGATAAATTTTTCTACTTGATATAAATGTCATTTCAGTTTTACAATTTCACTACTCTATTAACTAAATGTTGTATGATTTTTTTCTCTAGAAAATTTCCTTAAATCTAAGTTAGAATATTGAAGTCCTTACCATAAGACTGTTCATTTTTAACACTAAACTCTTCTGGAATATCGCTGTTCTGCTTTACACTCAAATGGAATGATGGAGCTGCCTGCTGCCACTGGGGCTTCGTACTCACCTGAAATATGAAATTTAAGTAGCATTAATAAAAAAAGACAAGCAAAAAACTTTTTTTCATGAAATGCACAAATATTTGTAAACACAGACATTTTCTCAAACAAATCAGGACATCTGGAAAGAAGGCAGAAACAATAGCAAATCTTATTCAAGCCTGTGCATGGCTGTGGTGGTGACGTTTGGGAGACATTACCAAAGGCCCCGCTGCTGCTTTGATGTGGGCGCCTGTTCCTAACACTAGGGTGTTCATTCCAGAGAGTCTACTCCCCCCCAGATACGAACAAGTGCTTCTTAAGCCTTCCATTTTAATGAGAGGCAGCCTCTGCTGGTCTCCAATGCTAATGAGTTCCACTGCGTTCCAGCTCCAGAAGGTCTTCCTGTTCTCATGGCTTTAAGTGGCTCTAGATTATTTTGGAAGCTCACAAATTTATCCCATCATTTAAGGCAGGGGTCATAAATTCTTATATGATTCGAGGAGGTATCATAAAAGAGGGAGAAAGGCTAGTGACGATAGCTAATTAGCTCTCAGCTTCAGTGCTGGGAAACAATAGAGGGTGGTGGGGACGCTGGCAGATGGGAGAACGCCAACATCTTTCAAAAGGCAACAACTAATTAGCTCCAGCCAATTACTGCAATACCAGAACACAGACCCATTGTTACTGGAACATATAGCTCTTCCGTAAACCCAAATGGGTGGATTTTTTTTTTTTTTTTTTTTTTTTGTGAGGAAGATCAACCCTGAGCTAACATCTGCCAATCCTCCTCTTTTTGCTGAGGAAGACTGGCCCTGGGCTAACATCTGTGCCCATCTTCCTCCACTTTATATCGGACGCCACCACAGCATGGCTTGACAAGCGGTGCGTCAGTGCGCATCCAGGATCCAAACCTGCGAACCCCGGGGCCACTGAAGCGCAGCACATGTACTTAACTGCTGCGCCACCGGGCCAGCCCCCCAAATGGGTGGATTTTAAAGTAAAATATACATATTTTTTAATGCTGACAGTTGAGTCTGTGTCTTCCTTTCAGATGCAGACCAACTTGATAGCCCATGCTTGTACTGGCTTCTCCTTCTTCCCAGTTTTATTCTCCCCAAGTTTTATTCTGCACACAAGTCCTTGCTTGTTTCAGGCTCTTCTTTTGCAGGAAAATAGCCTAAGCCAACTTATAAGTCAATGCTTTTCCATCCATCCATCTGCCCTTCCATTGTTCCACTCTCATCTTGCTCCATTAAGGATCTAGGATTCATGGGAGTGCTATGAGTGAGGTATGCAAAGAGGGTGAGAACCAGGTCACCAGCTCACGGAGGCTGGGAGCCACCACTGCTGAGTCACCCTTTATTTCAACAAGGATCACCTCTGGAAACACGAAGGTCTGTAATGAAATCACTCTAGGTCTTAACTACTGCTAGAGAGTTTCATCTGAGTGCAAACCTTAATATTCAAATGAAAATACTTTGTTTTTAATCAATGGATTTTTTTTAAAAATCTCTTAAAAATATTATTTCCTGGGGCCAGCCCGGTGGCCTAGTCGTTAAGTTCACATGCTCCACTTCAGCAGCCTGGGGTTCACGGGTCTGGATCCCAGGCTCGGACCTACACACTGCTCATCAAGCCATGCTGTGGCAGCACCCCACATAAGAAATAGAGGAAGACTGGCACAGATGTTAGCTCAGGGACAATCTTCCTCAACCAAAAAGAGGAAGATTGGCAACAGATGTTAGCTCAGGGCCAATCTTCCCCACCAAAAAAATATATATATACACATTATTTCCCTTAAAACACATAAAACTCAAAGAATGCTGGAAAAAATGTAAGATACAGCCAAATATGAACATAAAACCAGGTTTACATCAGCTAACAAAAGCATTTTAGACTATAATATGCCATCAACAGGAAAAGATTATTGTTCAACTCAACTGGGCCACTGAATATTAAATAAGGAAATTTTAATTAAGTTTACATTTCCAAACCTATATACTAACAAGACACAACAAACTAATGGCAATTTTTCTTTTCTTTCAGTTTTAAAATGTGTTAAATTTTAAAGAGAAAATAAAATGTTTATTCTGTTTCAGGTCTTGTCTTTTAAACTAGAAAATTTAAGATAGATTTTACAGAACTAGGGAAAACTTGCCATGGCTCAATTTTACAGAACTTGGCATGATAATCTGGCATTATTAACAAAAACACATTTTCAATGAAAACGTGTATTTTGAAATGTTCAAGATAATTCACCTAAGAATATTAATTCAAGTTTCTAAGTGAAAAATTTCCTCCATTTTAAATTATCAAGAATCTTCTCTAATGAAACAACACAAATTCAATTTTATAGTTTGTTCTCAGCTTTTAAAATATCTTTCAAAAAATAATGCTTTGGATGAACCTTGAAAACATTATGCTAAGTGAAATAAGACAGACATAAAAGGACTGATATTGTATGATTCCACTTATATGAGGGACCTAGAGTAGTCCAAACACATAGAGACACAAAGTAGGAGAATGGTGGTTGCCAGGAGCTGGGGGAAGGGAGAATGGGGAGTCAGTGTTTAAGGGGTACAGAGTTTCAGTTTGGGAAGATGAAAAGAGTTCTGCAGATGGATGGTGGTGACGGTTGCACAACAATATGAATATACTTAATGCCAATGAACTACAGTTCAATTAAAACTGGTTAAAATGGTAAATTTTATGTCATGTAGATTTTATCACAATTAAAAAATAATAATAATGTTTTCATTGAACCCCTCCATTTAGGCTCAACTTCCAGGAGTCACAAGAACATAACTCAATGGCACTAAACTCAACATAATTACTGATGGCAAAATTTATTACAGTAAAGTATACCTTACCCAGCACTTATCGACTGAAAATGTCGACTTAACTGCCTCTTCTACAGGACAATGACAATTTATAGTCATAATAATAAAAAAACAATGGCAAGATCTGAGGAATCTTCTGTGGCATAGCATTTCACTGCTAGAAGATAACATCTCAAAGATCATCACATCAACTCTGCTCATATTCAGACTCAGAAACTGAGGCTCAGAGAGGTAAGCGATCCCCTCAGATCACAGAGCCCTGAGAGACAAGGCTGTAACCTGACACCTCATTTCCTAACTCCAACACTGACGTACTTTCTGCTGGTCCATCTTGGAAATTCTTTTATCCAGAATATTCAAATATTCTGTACATACTAGGAAATTATAGCTTACTTTACTAACTTACAGTTACTTTATTAAGATAGTTATTTTTCCTAATATGTGCACCTCGTAGAATTTTTCCATCAGAAAAGAATCAAATAGAGTACAAAATTCAAAATCAGAAATTCAGTTACTTATTTACAAGTTTGAAAACTAATACACCCTTTTAAAAGAGCAAAAATTCAATGTGTAGGTAAATTACCGGAGCCAACTGTGGTAAAACTCTTACTGGAGTCTTGGATTTTTCTTTGCTGGCTGATTTATCCTGCATGAAAAATGAAAAACAAAAAAAAAACCTGTTTACTCTGTTAATGCTAAAATTGATTCACTCAACCTAATTTTACAGAGGGTACAGATAATACGTGCTAAGGTAAAGCACATATTATCCAAAATATCCAAAGACATACTCTACTACTTTTTAAATTCTCAACGTTGTCTTAGAATTGGTTCCTTTATAGCAAGGAAGGAAAGGAAAATGGTACCCAACAATACTTATCAGAAAGCTTTAAAAAGTGTGCAAAGCCTTTTATCCATTACACAATTTTCTGGGAATTTATCTGAACCCAGTGTCCAGGGCTTACTCAGGTCCACCTCCCTTCTCCATCACTAGAATATCATTTTTGTCCTATTGACAACCAGAACGCTCTACTTCCTAAGCTAACAATATATTTAGGATAACACACCCTCAAGTTACCATAAGTAACATTTGTAGTTTTTAGCAGCAACTTTCCGAGGAAACTGTTGCTATCTCCTTTGAGTAGAGGGTGATTCCACAGTGGGAATTTTATCTAGTTAAGAGGAAGCACTGTTGAGAATGATACTTTGATCTATAAAGCAGACAATATGAGTTGTGCTTTTTGCCAACTGTCAATTTATTGCCTCTCAGCTCCAAATCCACCCTTTTTGCCCTCCTTTGTGATTCTTGAGAAGGACCCTCTGATTTTCCCTTTGCCAACCAGCATTAATATTATAAAGAGTGCTAAAAGATCACTGTAGGAGGAAGGGACTTTTCTCCCTGGTTCCAGCGCTTTTTCTTATTGCTCCCAAGGCATGGTAGTGGTTAAGTCTGGTGCACTCCACTTAGGCTGCCTGGGTTTGTGGGTTCAGATTCCAGGCGCAGACCTACACCACTCATCAAGCAATGCTGTGGCAGTGACCCACGTACAAAATAGGAAAGTTATTAGCACAGATGGAAGATTAGCACAGATGTTCGCTCAGGGACAATCTTCCTCAACAAAAAACAAAAAACCTATATGCTTTCATCCAGGACAGGAGATAGTATGGAGTAGAATGTTCAAAGAAATTCCCAGAAAGAGAAAGAATGGAAGCTAAGCCTTGAGGCAGAGTTGGATCTCCACAGAGAAGAACAGCAATGAGCTTACTGAAGACAGAAGGAGCATCATAAACAATGACTCAGAAGGGGATGCTGGGGTCGATGGTGAAGGAACTTGGCCCAACTGAAGTAGAAGGTCTAACCATTCTCTTACTCAACGATGATTTATGAACTCCCACCACGTGTCAGGCTTTCTTTAAGGTACTGGATCTATAGCTGTGGAAGGACAAAGCCCCTCCTCTCATGGAGCTTACATTCTAGTGGGGGTACAGACAGCTATTTCAGAATAAATACATCCTATAATGTCAGGAAGTAATAAGTGCATGGAGACAAATAAAGCAGGGTCAAGGGATAGAGAAGGAAAAGGTGGAGAGCGCTAGGTTAGATGGGGTAGTGAGGCCCCTTGCAGAGGTCATGTTTGAGCAGGACCCTAAATCAAGGCTGTGGAGGGCTGGACAGATGGGTGCTGCAATATTATGGAGGCCATAGGTTTGGGGGCCTGATTGGCCTGGCTGGCAGTAGAGAGCCATTGTAGTCTCGTCTTGGGGTGATCTCAAGTCCCAGTTAGCTGGGGACAGTCCCAGTTTATACCTCTGGCCCAAGCATCATCAGTAGCACTTTCACTCTCAAAGGCATTTCAGTTTGGGTGATAAATTATACTTTTATCTTATTTATTATGCAAGGACATACCAAGGGTTATTTCATAAATGGTCCTGGAAGCAGCCAATAAGACATATGAGAAGAAGGAGACTAGAGTCAGTAGTTTAGTGGCTTTTTAAAATAATCCAGGCAACAAGAGATATGGGCCTTGATTTAGAGAAAATGCTAGTAATTGAAGGTCACCACAACCTTCTTGAGACACAGCTCTGATCATCTTCTGCCCTGGTCAGAAACGTCAAAAGCCCCCTATTAAAGTAGGCACAAGTCTTCATCTTGGTTTTCAAAGCCTCCTTGATATGCTCCAAACAATTCTACCCCCAGCCTCTCTGACAGTTACTTTTTAGCCATATGACTCGGGCCGGCCAACGAAATTCGAGCACAGGTAGTGAAGGGCGGTGTGCCTCCTTCACGGCTCTCCTGCCCCTGCCACTGCCGGCAAGGAGGCCACATGTCCCCACCAGCACAGCTGTAAGGTGGAGGAGGGCTACCTGACCCACAACAGACTTCTGAGCAAGGGGTAATCTTTGTTGCCTTAAGTCTCTGAGATTTGGGGATCTGTCTGTTATGTCGGGTAGTATTAATTAACCTAACAGAGCCACCAACACGCCCCTCCATGTCCCCCTGTTAAAATCCAACACTTTCCTCAAGACCAAGATCAAAAAAGTTTAGATTCTCTTTCTCAACTCCAATTGCAGGTGACCTCCTCTGAACATGCAGAGCACTCTTTTGGTAATTCTCTTATCGTTTACATTCTGTCTGGAATATAATCTGTATGCAAACCTCTCCTGCTCTCCTATCCCCCCACCCTGCTCCATCTCAGTCTACTAAATCACTCTTATAGAGCTGGATAAACTGACTTCAAAATAATTTTATCTTAGAAAAAATTACAACTTGGTTAGCCAAGCCCTAAAAAAAAGCGCCACATAAAAAAAAGAAAAGAAAAAAAAGAACTGCAATGAGCTTTAGACAGTACTTCCCAAAGTACCAACACCAGATTAGGTGACTATTTCCTAAATATCTGTCTTCTACAATTTCTACAACTCCCAGTGGACCACAGGATGTGAAGGGAAACACAAGCACATTTTCAAGCTAAAAGATGACGTAGGTGTCCTCGCAGGTGAAGGCTTCCCTTTGAGAAGAATGTGGGTGTGGTAAATGCAGTTGTAGGTGATAGGGAGGAAAAGTTCTGGACAGTATGGTCCAAGTGCCCTGCAATTTCCATACCATGATACAGAGGCAAGTCAAATGAGGTCTGCTGTATTGGAGCCACTACAACTGTACAAAATACCTTGCTTGACCTCAGCCTCCTACACAACCCCACACACCTGACTTCCTAGGATCTCTGCACTGCCTGTTTTGCATGCTGAGCTATCCCCCCAGTCTCATCAGCATCCTGGGTGGAGAAGGGTGGTGGAGGCCTTAATGTTTCCTTCTTACACTGCAGCACAGGACATATATCTCACAGAATATTTTACAAATAGTGGTTCTCTGGCTAACCAAGAAGAGCAGCCACACATAAGCCAGAATACCATCTAGCTAAGTAATATTGTTCTTCAATAAAACCAAAGGGGTGGATTTTAAAGTAATATCTACATATTTTTTTACGCTGACAAGCAATTCCATTTTGGTCTCTATTTTCCTTTCAGATGATGATTTGGGCATATGCCATTCTTTCCCTCTGCTTTGGCACTCTTGTGACACTGGCCCTAAGGGAATTCCACTGACTTTTCTACCAGACGGCTCTAATGCCTCATACCTTTTCACATCCTCCTGGCCTCATCTCTGACTCTGGACATGGCTGCAGTTAACATTTCTGTGCTGGCTTCAATTCACATAGGAATGACAGTGTTTCACCTCAAGAAAATGTCTTTTTCTTTCTGCTGTGGGGCTTTTCCAATGCTATAGCATAGAACTCTCTGGGTAGCCCACTCTGCACACACACACACACAAGCAGCCAGAAGCAGGTGGGAGTTAACATCCTCAGGAGCAACTTCCACCAACGTGGGATGAGAGCTGATGCATAAATGCTGCCACCCTGATCATCCTCAGGTGGATAATTCCAGGAAGCATTCTATAAGCAACTCAGAAGGTCATGGCAGGGTCATTCCAGTTGCCTAGTGTGACAACCAACTTGATAACACATCCTCATACTGGTTTCTCCTTCTTCCTGGTTTTACTCTCCCCAATCCCTTATTCCTTTCCTGGGATCACCTCCCAAAGAAATCGTACACAAGTCCTTTTTTCAAGCTCCTCTGTCACAGGAAAACAAGCTAAGACAATTTAAAAATCAGTGCTGTTCCATCGTTCCACCTGCCCTTCCATTGCTCCACTCTCATGTTGCTCCATAAAGGATTTAAGATTCATGGGAGTGCTTTAAGTGAGGTGCACAGAAAGCGGCAGGATCAGGTCACCAGCTCACAGCGGCTGGGAGCCACCTGTGTTGCATCATCCTTCATTTTAACAAGGATCACCTCTGGTAGCATGAAGGTTTGCAATGAAACCACTCTAGGTCTTAACTACTGCTAGAGAGTTTCATCTGAGTGCAAACCTTAATATTCAAGTGAAAATAATTTTTTAATCAATGGATTATTTTTTTAAATATCTCAAAATATTATTCATCTTAAAAGACATAAAATTCAAAGGGTATGGAAGAAAAATAGCAAGATACAGTCAAATATGACACAGTATAAGGTTTACATCAGCCAACATAAGCATTTTAGACAATCATATGCCTCACTGGCTAGAAAGGATTATTCAACTCAGTCACTGAATGTTTAATCAGTAAATAAATTTAAATTTAGTTTATTTCTAAACTTGCATACTAGTAACATAAAAAAACAAATGGCAATTTTTTTTCAGTTTTAAAATTTGTGAAACTTTTAAAGAGAAAAAAAAAAATGCCTATTCCATTTCAGGTCTTTGTCTTTTATTCCAGAAACTTAAGATAGATATTTGCAGAACTAAAAAAACAGCTATGATTTTATTTTATAGAATATGGTGTGATAAACTTGGCATTATCAATACAAATAGATTCACAATTAAAACATGTACTTTGTTTTTGTTTTTTGGTGAGGAAGATTGGCCGTGAGGTAACATCTATTGCCAACCTTTCTCTATTTTATATGTGGGACACCACCACAGCATGGCTTAATGAGCAGTGTGTATGTCCACGCCCAGAATCCGAACCCGTGAACCCTAGGCCGCCGAAGCGGAGCACTCGAACTTAACCATCACACCACCGGGCTGGCCCCTAAAACATGTACTTTGAAATGTTCAAGAACAGTTA